AAAAAAAAAAAGAAAAGACAATCACCATAAATACTTACTAAGTAAGGTTATCATTATCTCTACCTATTTACAGCTAATATTTCCTTTATTTTTAGATGTTACATTTCTAAGTTCTTTTCCAAAATCAGCTTTACTTTTTTGAGGGCTGGATTATAAATGTGATACATAATGCCTAAAAAATAAAACCCAACTATAATACTTAAAGGTATGAAGAAAAATGACCACAACCACTATCAATCATTTGGTTTACTGATGAAGTTTTTTCAAGTCATACATATTACTCAAAACAACGGGATTTGTTGAAATATTTTTAAAAATTAGCTATATCCCAGCCTCATCATTACTAGTAATTAATTAAATGTAAAAATTATTTTAATGGTTAAATAGTACCTGATTAAAAAGGATGTTTCATTAATTTAACCCCCTTTAGAAAATCCTTATATAGTTCTGATTATTGCCTTTTAATTTCTAGAAATGCAATTATTTTTTAATCGACTTTTAAGAAATTTTAGGTTTACAGACAATCGAGGAGACAGTCCTCAGTTCCAACATGAACAGCCTGACAAAGATTCCCTTATTACCTCATAGAATGTTACATCTGTTACAAATGAACCAATATCAATGCATTTCCATTAAACTAAAGCCCATAGTTCACATTATGATTAATATTCTTTAGAATATATTATATTCTTCTAGGAGTTGTTTTTCTCTTTTTGAGAGGAGGGTCTCGCTCCATTGCCCACGATGGAGTATACTGGTATGATAATAGCTCATTGCAGCTAGGCTCGAGTGACTCAGCCTCCTGAGTAGCTGGAACTACAGGATCATGTTACTGTGCCCAGCTGTTCTATGGGTTTTACAAATGAATATTATCATATATCCATCATTTAATATCATACAAACTAGTATCACTGCCCTCAAGAGCCCCCAATTCAGCCTCTTTAACCCCCATCCCCTATCACCCCGGTCTATTTTACTCTCTACATGTAGCCTTTTTAGACTGGGTTCTTAAATGCATAAGCAGTATGCATTTTAAGTGCTTCCAAGTATTGTGGTATGATGACCACAGTTTATGTATGTACCACAGTCTATACATCCACTTTTTGAAAGATATCTCAGTTACTTCTACTTCTTGGCAATTATGAATAAAAGATGCTATAAATATTTGTGTATAGTTTTTTTATGGACATAAATTTTAAACTCACATAGATAAATACCTAGGAAACATGCCTGCTAGATCATATGGTAAGATTGTTCAGTTTTATAAGAAACTACTAAATTGTCTTCCAGAGTGGTACATTCCTATCAACCATGAATGAGAGTTTCTGTTTTTCCATATCCTAACCTGGCATTTGGTACTGTCAGTTTTTTTGTACTTTAGCCATTCTAATTAAGTATGTAGAGGTAACTCATTGCTGTTTTAATTTAGCAATTCCCTAATTACATCATGTTGAGCTCTTTTCATACACTTATCTGCCAAGATGCATCTTCTTTGGTGGGTTGTCTGCTCAATGATCTTTGGCCCATTTTTTATTTGTTTTTAGCTGGGGAAAGATTTCATGAAATTATTTTATTTATCTGTTTGGGATTGAGGGTACAAAGAATGAGGTTACACTGATTGTATGTTAAAGTCCCTCTTATAATTGTGTCCTATCCCCAAGAGTTGTGCCATACATTGTGACCCCCATCCCCCTACCTCCTTCCCTCTCCCCACTTGCTCATTCCCCTACCCCCCACCTTGTATTAGTTCATCATCTGCTTTCATATTACAATAAAGTACACTGGATTCTTGCTTCTACATTCTTGTGATGCTTTACTAAGAACAATATGTTCCCTCTCCATTCAATTTAAAACAAAAGATGTAAAGTCTCCATCTTTTTAATGGCTGAATAGTATTCCATGGTATATATATACCACGGCTTATTAATCCATTCCTGGGTTGGTGGGCATTTGGTGGGCAAACTGTTTCCGCATTTTGGTGATTGTAAATTGAGCTGCAATAAACAGTCTAGTGCATATGTCCTTATGATAAAGGAATTTTTCTTCTGGGTAGATGCCTAATAATGGCATTGCAAGATCAAATGGGAGGTCTAGTTTGAGTTCTTTAAGGATTCTCCATACTTCCTTCCAAAAAGCTCATAATTTTGTCCATTTTTAAATAGGGTTGGCTTGGCACCGGCCACATGCACTGAGGCTGGCAGGTTTGAACCTAGCCTGGCCTGAGCTAAGCAACAATGACAACTGCAACAGAAAAATAGCCAGGCATTGTGGCAGGCACCTGGAGTTCCAGCTATTTGGGAGGCCGAGGGAAGAGAATCACTTAAGCCCAAGAGCTTGAGTTAGCTGTGAGCTGTGACACCATGACGCTCTACCAAGGGCAACATAATAAGACTCTGCCCCCCCCGCCCCCGAAATAAAAAAAATAAATTGAGTTGTTTGCCTTCTTATTGCTGAGCTTTAAGAATTCTTTGTATATTTTGCTAGGCATAGTGGCTGATCCCTGTAATCCCAGCATTCTAAGAGGCTGAGGTGTGTGAATTGCCTGAGGTCAGGAGTTCCAGACCAGCCTGAGCAAGAGTGAGACACCATTTCTAAAAAATAGCTATGTGCTGTGGCAGGCACCTGTAGTCCAAGCTACTCAGGAGGCCAAGGCAAAAGAATCACTTAAGCCCAAGAGTTTGAGGTTGCTGTGAGCTATGATGCCATGGCACTCAACCCCAGGACAACTGAGTGAGACTCTGTCTCCAAAATAAAAAAAGAATTATTTGTATATTTTGAATACAAATATATTTATCAGCCAGGTTTTCTCCAAATATTTTCTTACAGCCTGTGACTTTTTCATTTTTGTAAGTGCCTTTCACGAAGCATAAGATCTTGACAAAGTTCAATTTATTCTTTCATGAATTCTGCTTTTAGTGTTACATCTAAAAACATCACCAAACTCCCAGATTTTCTCCTGAATTGTTTAAGTTTTCT